GAGTCCTTGAACTTCTGCCATTTGATCTCCGCCGTCGTCTGCGCCTCTTCCAGCTTTCGTGCCTTTGCCTCTGCACGCCGGACTCCATTCAGGAGTTTCTGGACGCTGTTGACATAGCGGCCAGTCCTCGGTCCTTCCTCCATGGCGTCCTCCATGTCGTAGCCTCTTGAGCCGGCACTGCGCTCCTCCGTCTCGTAGACCTCCATCATCTCGTAGGTCGGGAAGAGGTTCTCCGGCCGCTCTTGGCGCTCCCTTTGGCCCTTGCCATGCCTGCCCGTGCCCTTGCCAGGCCATGCTGACGATTGCCCATGCCAGGAACCGTTTCCACCAGTAGTGGACCATTGCTTCCAGTCACGGCCACGTCCCATTTGCAGCTCTCTGAACTTCGGTCTGGTGTGGTGCTGGCTGAGAAGCCTCAGCGCTGCACCGGGCACGGTCCTGCCGGATATCCGAGATTTCCAGATGGACTTACGAGCTCGGGCTCGTTTAGCTCGCTCTCGGCGATGCCAGGCGGGGGAGCTCGGAGGATGTCGAGCGATGGCTCCAGCTGCGTGCCTATCTCTCAGGCACTTGGGGTCTGCCAGCTATAGCACTGCCTTGTCGCAGTGCCTCGATCCGGGACCCTACATACATACATACATACATACATACATACATACATACATACATACGCACACCCACACACAGACGTATATACATACATACGAAACCGTGCCCACGGAGAGTATGGAGACTGACTGTGCAGGACAAAGAGGGTTCCATCTCCGTGGAGGAGCTGCAGAAGGCGTGGGAGATGAATCTTACGTCTAGATAGTCCTAAGTTTAGGGTTTAGGGCTTAGGGTTTAGGGTTTAGGGTTTAGGGGAGGATCATGGGACTTAGTAAGTAAGGATATAAGTCCCTTAATTGGGGTTATAAGTATAGTTACCCTAATTATAAGCTTACTAAGTCCCATGATCCTTTAAGTACTCCCATCTTGCCGGTACGCACAGGCATTTTGCAGTCTACCTGCATGGCTCATGAACTAACAAAACTTGCACGCAGTGTGCCTCCTCCAAGGCGCAACCCTGGCAACTTTCGTCCTTGCCACACGACACCAGAATAAAGCCTTGAGGCAGCAGAATTGATGGCAGCAGCAATCCTCGCCATGGAGGGCAGCAGTCAAGAGCACCAGGTGTTCACTTGTTTCCAGTGCCATACGGACCTGTAGTATCCTGTAGACTGCCAGCGAAATGAAGCCGTGACAGAGCCCAAGCTCCCAATGCAGAATGTCAGGCACTTTCCTACCCGATCGTGCGATACGTGGTGGCACGCTGCCTCGATTTGGCAGAGTTGACAGAGGAACTCTTGGCCCGAAACGGCCGGAAAGCTTGGCAGAGTTTGGAGACAGCTAAGGTGGAAATTGCCAGCCTTCTCGAGCAGAAGCACGGGGGTGTTGTGGAGGCCGCCGACCTCAACAAGCTCCATGAGTATCCACTCTCCTCACTCTCCGCACGCTCTCATTCCGCAAGTCTCGACTCTTGAAGATTCGTGGTGCAGTCTTTCAGTGCTGTGTTGCTGCCCCTGGAGGCTTTTGAGAGCATCGGAGAGATCCGCCCCGGCTCAGTTTCAAAGGTGCGCATACCTTGTGCTGTGGGGTTGTCGTTTTGGAGTTCCGGCTCGCAACGGATCTTTGTTTTCTTGTTCAGGCGTGGCTCACGTTATTGCTGAGACATGTGGATCGGCTTGATGCTTCTTTGGATGGTGTGGCTCACGCTTCTGCTTGGACAGCCCCAGAACTAGACTCTGACAGCCCGATCTCTTCAGAACATTTCACAACCAAGAGGCATGACTGATAAGCCAAAGTTGGTCTGTTCGGGGACACATGCCGAGCGCAGGACCGCGCATGAAGCCATCGTTTGGTTTTGCGGATGTGTCGTTTTGCCTTCAGATCTCTGCACATCTTGAACACACCTTGGCTTGGGTCAAGGATAACTATCTGGATCTATCTCGCACCAAAGCGAGCCCAGTTCCTCGATGTGAGGTTCCACCACCACCTTTGTCGGGTGATCGGCCACCTGTGCGGCTTGCGGTCCACGAGGAGCTCGAGTTAGAGACGCAAAAAATATCGAGCTGTTCTGCCTGTGAAAATCCGAGACCTTGCTGCTCACTCAGCCCGCAGCCTCGCCAGGGCGTGTCGCAGGAGCACTTTCTAAAGGTGCTGAGGCAGCTGAAGGCGGGGCTTTTCCCGCACGAGTTGGTCTTTGCATTGGGTGCGGGAAGTTCTCCAACATGGGAAATGCGACTCCTGCAGTGAGGTTTGTTTTTTTTTCGGTGAGTGAGGCGTCGATCAGCAGCAAGGGGTGCACGGGCTGCTTCAAGGGCTCCAACCCTGGTGAGAGGGCTTGTGGTTTTACAAAGGCATTGGTACATTTGAAAAAAGCTTCTGCCTGGCGTCATCACTTCGTAGTGGCCACTCTCTCTTCGTGTCAACCCGCCACAGCACAGGTCCTGGACAACATCACGGACAGTGCTGCCACGATCCTTGGAGAAACAGTTCCTCCAAGTAGGAATGCATACGTGAAGATCAACCTTCTGAAGGCAGTCAGTTATGCTGATCACTTAAACCATTCAAAGGCAAAGACCTCTCATGTGCGTTGCGCGTCATCGTATCGTATGTATGGGCGGGTAGTTGCTAGTCACTGGTCTGTCCTTGAATATGGCTTCGCTCACGCAGATGCACAGTTCATCCATTTGTGTACGCGATCCAAAGTCCAGAGTTCTATACTTGGACCTTCCACGAGGATGATTTGGACCAGCCTCCAGCCGTTCACGATGCAGGCGGGTTCTGGACCAGGGGACCTCGCCTGGTGAGTTTCTCACAGCCCGCAGCCGAGGACTTTGTGCAGCGACTTCTGGAAGAACATCGCCAGGCCGAGGAGGTCGGACCGGAGAGGGTCGGGAGTGCACGCCCGGCCGAAACCTCCCAGAACAGTCTCAGGAGAAACAGCGCCACGAGGAGGACCGCGACAGGCTCCGTGCTCTAGCTATCTGGGCCTGGCAGCACGACCCATAGCCTTCAGGCGTGAGAAGGAGCGCAAGCGGCGTTTGGCAGAGTCGTTGTGCAGCTTGGCCCAGCTTCAAGACCTGGCTAGGTGGAGTTCAGTCTCGTTCAAGGTCAAAGGGTGGAAGGCAGAGCTGAGAGTTACAGAGCACCATCATTGTACGGTCTAGACGCAGTTCTCTGGCACTTTCATGTGTGCCATGTTGAGGCTTGTCTGCCAAGGCAAATTTTTGGAACCCCAGCAAGCAAAGCGTTCAAGCACACAGCATCTCCGATATGCAAGCAGTATCTAACTTGATCGGTTGTGCCACAGCCCCCAGCCAGAGCATGCCAGCAAAGTGGGCTTTGGCTTCACGAGTGTCGGTTGGGGCAGTGTTAACCTCCAAGCCCAAAGCCCTCTTTGCGAAAGAAGTTCTTTAGAGATTTTGGAGTCCTAAGCTGCAACGTTTCAGCGGTCCAAGATGACTAGAACAGAGCTCCCATCTGCAACTCTGAGCACACTGATGAGGCCTCGATAGCCGACAGAGAGCGGCCAAGGACCGGCAGAGCCAGGTATGCGATGTTGAGGGTTGCAGGACTTGTTTGCGCTGGGCATGTGGGACATTTCTGCAGCTGCTGTTTTCGGTGAGGGCGGGGGCCCATGCCAAAAGAATGTAAAGGTATCTCAGGTCCATCTGTCATCTTTCGCTCGCGAAGTCCAGAAGCATTGATCCCCGCACCGACAGGCTTTCCCGAATCGTACCCTTTGGCCAATGCTGTCACGGATTGGCCAGAGCGCCTCTGGATTTTGATCACCTTGCAGTCGCAGATTGCACAAGAGGGGATGGGTTCAAGGAAGTAAATTCCTGGCTCGATGAAGTTCGCTACCTCGAGGCCAAGGGCATTTGCGGGTTGTCTCGGACTGCCAAATTCTGAACCGAGGAAGTGGCAGCAAGGAACATGCTGAGAATGTGGAGTGGGTGTAAATAACTAACATATGTCCACAGGTATACAAGTTCGTACATACCAAAACTACTAAAATATGCAGGCTATGATATGTGTATATCAGAATCTGTACATACATATATCCATTTTAAATATACACACATTCACTCTGTATATCTTTATATGTACACACACACATGCAGAGATTTGTATTTATTCATAGCTGTTTCTATAATATTGTGCATCTGCATCTATGTCTATGTCTATGTGTATATCCAGATTGATATCTAGAGGTATGTCTATGTCCGTAACTAGATCTACATCTGTATCTGCATTTACATCTATATCTATCTCTCTGTATATATATATATATACACATGTATACACATACACATATATATATATATATATATATGTAAACATGTATGTGTGTATATATATATATATATGTGTATATGCATATGCATATGTATATAGATACAGGTGTACCTCTGTGCATGTGTGTGTGTGTGTGTCTCATGCTTCGCAAAATGAATCCAGCTCCCGCTGCCGCCGCTCTTTTGGATTCTCCAGCCACAGCACTAGCCTCCATGAATCTCGCCGGGCCTGAAGTACCAAAAGTTCACGGACTGTCTTGGCGACAATTTTCACGGCACCTCGGCGGCACGTGTGGGCATGATTTCGCGTTTTGACAAGGCTTGAGGCGCTCTTCAGTGGGAGTCAGCACAGATGGTCCGGGACTGTGACCACACTGGGCTCTGAAGGGAGTTGGTTGGGGTGGCTGAGCTCAAGAGCCGCCACGTGCTCTTCTGTAGGCCCTGCCAGCCCCGCTCGCACGGTGATGCGCCTGTTCGTGGCGCTGGACAAAGGCCCATGGCCGGGGCCGAACCGCCAGCGCCTCCGAAGGAACCGCCGCTGGAGCCGCCCCTGCCGGGGACTCAGCAAGAAAGCTGAGAACCTGTTGCCCTTTTCTTAAATGTCCTGATGGTACTCGGCTCAATTCGAAGGCTTGGCGACATTGACAGTGCAGAGGGCCAGCAGCAAAAGGCCTGGGCCGATGTTTAGTCGTCGCCAGCTTGTTATTTAGGTCTCGTTGTAGCAGAGCGAAAGGGGCCCGGCTCGGTGTAAAACGGCTGTTTCCGAAATGACAACAACAGCACAGCGATCCTTGAAGCCTTCCGACTTTGTCAATCGCCTTGGGGCAGTACCAGCCACATCCCTTATTCGCCGAAAGAACTAAAACGGCGAATGTGTTCATTGGAGCCGCTGTACAAGCTCCGTCTTCAGAACCTACTTCATCAAGCACTCCGCTTGGTGTGCCTGGGTTTGTAATATCGACGACGGCGAGTCAACCGCTGCCAGGGTCGGATTTCTGGGCCGACCGATCGCCGTTTCTCTCTGCTCAAGCATCTCCTTCAACCACCTCAAACTTCAACCGCTCAGGACGGAGAGAATGGTAGACTTAAGGCTGGATATCAACGTGGCATCCAAAGATTGGCGGCTTTCAGAGATTCTTCGCGTACACCGCGAACTCACTGCTCTCCGTGATGTTGACGGATGGCGATGCAAAGTCAAGTCGGTACGCAGTAAAGCGGTCGACGAACGAAACTTCGAAGGAACCTGAGACGTTGCAAACTTCTGTCACTGCCTTGGAAGTGGACAGAAAACTGCTTCAGGCGTTCTCAACTTCTTTGCATGGCGAGTTTTGTCAACTACGCAACAAGAACGGGACACGCCCAACTTGAACTTAATGAGAATCAGCGCTCTGAACTCCAGAGTCCACCTTCTCATTTCGACCGAAGCCGCCTTTCAGGCGTAGATTTCTGCCTTCAGTTTGGGTGCGAGATTGGGGAATCACAGACTGAGCGCTTCGGACATGCCGTCTCCTGAGCCCTGCCTGATGGCACGGGTCTTCAAAGCCTAGAAGTTGGTAAGTCGATGTCACAACCTAGCGTCAGGCGTCAGGCATCGTGAGGCTGCAGCAAAGCCAGCCCAAAGCGCTTTCGCGCGCTGCAGGTGCAAGGTGTCCTCCGAAGCTCGAAATCGGGCCGTCTGACGAGTCCGACGAAGACGGGCTCAAAAGGGTCTGTGCCATTCCGGGATTCTAGGTAAATTCTGGGTCTCGGTCTCGAAGGTGAAATTGAGCTGGAAGAGGCTAGCTGTCGCCGTGGAGCAGATCGAGTTCGATCTTCGGGCTAGGGTCTTTCGATACCCACCAGCCCACCAACCCTAAGACCTCATATCTTGAGCGCTTCGCGGTTGGCAACAGCTGTGAAATCTCGAGTCAGGCATGGTCACCTTGCTTAGCTGAGCAGGAAACATCTTAAGCAGAAATTTTGCAACAGCGGCAGCACGGCTGCTCTACTCCCGAGCTCTACAGTCCAGTGCCGAAGCTTCAGCAAAATCAGAAGTCTGGGAGGAGCATGAGTGCGTCTTACTTCAGCGACTGCAGCCTCCGGGAGGCCTTCAGACTGTAGACACTGGGGCGTGGAGGATACTCTGCTTTTGAGGAGAGTGGTTCGTGGGAGTTGCGGGAGCTCGAGCGGTTGGGCCAAGAGCATGGGCTTCGTTCTGAAATCCCGGGTCCAGACTTTCGCCAGCGACTGTCGCCAGAAGGGGTGTTTGCAGCCCTAGACTCACTTTGCGAAGCAGCCGAATGCTCTATTCCCAAAGCTTTGCATACAGGCCCTTCACGAACATCACGAAGTGATGCAGCAGTGGATGGCACGAGTGGAGAAGCAGATGCAGTTGCTGCAGGACCGTTCTGATTCCAAGGCTCAGAATGCCCAGACGTTTGTCCAAATTAAATGTCTGACGTCATCAGGGCTCGCACAGGGAGGCGTCCCCGAGGAATCTGCCAGTTCGACGGTTGGCACGGATTTGGAGGGTTTCCTCCTCTCGACCCTTGGAGTCCCAGCATGTCCCCCTAGTCCTCGAGCAGGGCTTCAAGCTCTGCCTTAGACATCTCGGTCCCCAGCAGTTTTTCTCACCATTGGGTCAAGGGGTGACATTTCAAATCGCAGGACAGTACAGAAGCGAAGTTGGAGGACGCTGTGGCCAAGCTGACGGAGGTTGTCAATGCACGCAGGACAGTTGGATGCTCACGGGGCGGTGGCAGTCGGATGCCCTTGGGGTGGTGGCAGTCTTGCAGACCGGGTCTGTGGGCTTCCATGTCTGGCTTCACACTTTCGGAGAAAAACGTGAAGCAGTACATGTCTTTGTTTGCATCGGTCCAACCGAATCAATCATATCTTTCCATCCGAAGGAAATCGCGGCCGCAGCTGACAGGAGCTCTGACCATCTTGTTTCATTGGGATTGTTACGGGTCAGGATTGCCGGCATGCCTTGCTATGAACTATCATGGTGGTATCGACGTACGGCTGACTATGACCAGACAGTCTGTGGAATGTCAGGGGCCTGAATCATAATTTCTCTCAATGCTGAGGCAGCAGCGGAACCCCGTCTGATGGACTGGGGAAGAAGGCACCAGGGATGTGTCACTTGGGGCGGCGTCCGCGAGGGCATAAGCTCAGGATCGTTTCCAGGGACCAGCAGTTGCAGGCCGAATACCATGGAGTTTTCTGTCCATAACCCACATACCTTTGGCATGACTGAATTTGTCGCGAATGTCCCCGCGCACTGCGCAGAGAACTCCCAAACCACTGTCGGGTTGAGGGCTTCGGGCAAGTTTTCCAGACCGGCTATCTTCTAGAGGCATTAGCAAGGACGCAAGTCAAAACTATAGATACTATAGTCTATAGATCAGATCTCAAGAAAAAACTCCGGTAATGTATGCCGTAAGCAGAAGGATGAACACGTCTTCCTTTCGTGATGGACCTTCCGGGATGTCCGGGTCACGAAGAAGTCGGCAGCATGGCCTAGGGCGAGTTCACAGCACAATGCCTTCGCCTTGCGTCGCCTTGGCGCAGCCAGGTCATCGATGAATCGGGAAGTTTTGGAGGCGGCTCTCGAAGCCTCGAAGATCTGCGAGAGGCCCGTGGGGGCAGAACTTCCCTGCACATTCCTGGGTTTACACATTGGCATATGCAATGTGTGGTGGCGTGCTAACAGGTCTTTGTTATGTACGGGTTGGAGACGCTTCAATTGTCCTTGTTTTCTTGGTATATGAACTCCACAACATGAGCACTCGTTCTTCGGGAACTCTGGAGGAACTGGCCCGAACAAGGCTGCCGTCATAGCTTCCTTCGTTAAATCGGCTTCAGTTTTCCGCAGGTACAGAATGCTGCCAAGAAAGCCTTCCTGCGCGGCCCTTGGAGCCTTAGAGCGCCGACGGTTGGAGGAGGTGTTTGGGCTTCGAGCGTGCGAACTGGGCTTGGCTGATTCCACTCACTTCGAATTCTTCATTTTGTGAATAGCTCGAGGCTTGACCAAGCACCTGTTTCTCTGCGCGCCATTCGAGATTGATGAGTTGGAGCAAGCTAGAGAACTCTGCGCTCTGCTCGTGGCCCCAAAGGCAAGACATTGGCCCTGCCGGGGTCGCGACGCGGAAGCCAAGCACGACAGGCAGGACAGGGTGTCAGGAGTCAGGAAGCGTGCTCAGGGGACGATTGGGCCGCACAGCACAAAAATCGAAGCCGAAATCCATGAGACGCCAAAGGGATGCAGGCTTGGGTGCAAACCGTTCCCAGGAACTAAGCTCGACCTCGAGACAGAGCAGACCGAAGGGGCAGGGGAGCGGAGAGGCCGGGAATGGGAGCCTCGAAGGCCTCGAGTTATGGTGAGATATGGTGAGTTATGTTGGGGTGATGAAAGCTGCATGGGATGCCCAATGCTAAGGCTGCTAAGCTTGATGGTGAGACGTTCAAGTGTGGGGATGGTTGTGAAAGTGGCATCGGCAGGTGTGCGAAAATGAACATGGGTCGAGCTTTGCTACGTTACTATTTCGTACAAACTGTGCTAGCTGCATCACTGGCCCCGATCGTCAGGCC